TCACCTTCAGAATTATAATTATTTCACCCGCGCCGGACAGAGACTGAGACGTGCAGCTGCATGTCGTGCCAAATCTTCTCACGGCAGAGTCATCAGCTTGAGATTGGTTTTTTGAGATCGGCCTTTTAGAGACCGCCGATCGATCATCCCAACCTGATTATTGGCCTATAGTGATCGGTAGCCGATCAATCGGAGCACCCCTACTTAAAGCATTATAAAAGTAGTTTTAATGCATTAATTATGCCTTGTAATGTAATGCACCTTATAATTCTTAAAGTGTAACCTAATTGTAACCACAGTTAATACATTATAACACTTATAAATTCATTGTTACACTATGCATTTTAAATTAATTTTTTTACCCTTTAATAACCCTTTATAATGCATTATACATAAAGGCTTACGTAAAGTGTTACCAATACCAATTTATATCACTTTTATTTCAGCTAGATGCCAAGACATTTTCATTTAGTTTAACTTGCTTAAATAATAACCAAAACTAAATAAACTAAAACAAATAAACACATAATTTATAAACACTACAGACAAAACAATGACTAAATGACAAAAACACAACAGAAGTATTAAAACTATAAATGACACTAAAATAACATTGGTGATCCTCAGTCGTTCAGGCAACCCACAGATTTCATTTTGGAAGTATGTCGGTTTGCACATCTCTAACTCAAAACTCCTTAGCAACCGCATACCAACTCCCTGGCAACCACCCACAACACCCTAGCATTGTAGCACCAAATGTTTTCCAGCAAAGCACCTAGAAATCTAGGTCCACATTATGAGTGAAGGCTTTGCATGTTCTTCTCACCCATACATTATGAGATAAACACAGAGCTTACGGTTAAATAAGGAAACTTCCACAATGAGGCTCTAAATAAAACACCAACTTCCTGCATTCCATAAGTGACTGCAGGGCATGTGGTCTTTTGAAGGCTGTTCTCTGAATGGAAGATGAGTGAAGAGATTCTGGCCCCTCCAAAGCTCTCTCAGAGACTGAGCTGAGAGGGTCACACTAGGTCACATGTCTCAGGAACAAGAGGAGCTGTCTGTAGAAGTGTGTGAAAATCACAAACCTCCTCCGCCTTCCAGGCCTGTTGCTAGGCTACAGAGAGGAAGTGGTGCGTTGTGCTTTTTTTTTCTTCTTCGCACTGGCACCCTGTGTCTACAGTTAAGCGGTACAAACATACACCAGGCTTGCAGTGACAAATGACTTCCTGATCCTGATTGTACAATAATAACTGTTCCGTTTTCACAGATTTCTACAAAGACATATATATAGAGAGAGATATATATATGGCTGTCATCACTGTTGTTTGGCTTCCCTACCCTCCAGCAGATACCGTCTTAGTTCTCACAACTGGAGTGTTGAGTATAGCCAATAGCAGCCGTGATGATGAAACCGCACAGCAATGTCTTCCTCACAGCATTTTGCAGCTACGGTTACAATGCATTACTACTGCAAGCTCTCCGATAGCCATTTACAGTCATTTCCGATATAATGGGAACAGACCTCAGTATGCATTTCAGCTGCCAGTCTAGATTAGAAGGGTTCTGTGACCGCATAGTGTGCTTATCTGTTTGGATTCTAAAAGCATTCATTCACACACAGGCTACAAAAAAATCTGCTGACGACTCTGGAAAAGCCAATCTTTTTATTATAATTTTTTTTATAAGCATAAAGCATCCTATGACTTTGTTGAAATTGTGTTATGTAGTTTTGTTCACAACCAGATTTACTATTTTTGCAGTATAGTTTATGCGTACCATGCTAAGTACAGTAAGCATATTTTTTCTGTGTGAAACACCAAGTTTTCCTATTGGAAATGTGCAATATACAGCAGAGTACACTTTGTTTATCATATACATATTTACTTTCTTTTCTTTTCAATTCCATTTCATTTTCTTTTCATTTTCATTTCCATTTCCATTTTCTTTTTTTCCCCATTTCTTTTCTTTTCCATTTCCATTTCCATTATTTCTTTTTTCTTTCCTTTTCCATTTCTTTTCTTTTCCATTCCATTCCATTTCCTTTTCTTTTCATTTTCATTTCCATTTCCATTTCCATTTTCTTTTTTTTTCCATTTCTTTTCTTTTCTTTTCCATTTCCATTTCCATTATTTCTTTTTTCTTTTCTTTTCTTTTCCATTTCTTTTCTTTTCCAATTTCCTTTCCTTTCCTTTTCCATTTCTTTTCTTTCCATTTCCATTTCCATTTCATTAAACCAGAGGTCTCAAACTCAATTCCTGGAGGGCCACAGCTCTGCAGAGTTTAGCTCCAACCAGCTCCAAATCATACCTGCTTGGAAGTTTCTAGTAATCCTGAAGACCTTGATTATCTGGATCAGGTGTGTTTGATTAGGGTTGGAGCTAAACTGTGCAGAGCTGTGGCCCCCCAGGGATTGAGTTTGAGACCAATGCATTAAACTGTACAATTGTTAGAAAACTCTTGCCATGAGAATAGTATCAGCTGCTGACATGGCATTAAAATCTCAACTACCTATCTACTCAAGTAAAATTTTCTTGACTAGACCGTCAAAATGTAAGACATTTTTACATAATAATTTGGTCAGCTTCGCTGTGTTTAAATGTGTCATATAAATAACATGTACTTGCTTACTAAAATGCAAAATTGCAGTTATTTTAAAAATAAATATGGTTATTTTGATAAATACAGCTAAGTTTATCATGAAATGTAATGAGGTCATGTGACGACAGTTTGAAACACTTTGTTGCATTTTGCTGACCGTTTTGCATATTGTTTCTAAAAATATTGCTCAATGTACGGCATATACGTGCAGTATGTTAATATTCCATTCTGAGCACAGTTATATTTATCATTAATACTGCACAGTCGGCACATTTGCGTCTTGCTTTTTTCATGGCTTATGGCAGTTGAGGACAGTCCTATCTTGCACGTCAACGCTCCAGAACTTTTCAGTTAATCTCTGTCAAGATGGCAGATGGTTTTTCCAGTTAGCAGTCGGCCCTGTGAATCTCCTCATCAGGAGAGACGTGGAGCTGTAGGGTGCAAATCCATCACACATGCACCCGTTCACCACGTCCACACATCTGATTCATTAATATGCCAGCATAATTTATTACGATTAGTCAGATGTATTATTATGATGATTGGCTCATGTGTTCTTCTGTCACAGATGTCTTCAAATAAGCCAACATTTTTGTCTAGTCAGCATGTTTTCCAGTTCAAAAGCTTCAAAACTACCAAGCCATATCGAAAGCAACCACTCAGAACAGCCTAGGAAATCCACTCAGACCACTTTAGAAACTGCATAGCAATCACCTAAAACACACAGCATGGGAAGAAACACTTAAAAATGATATAACAATGAATGTGCTTTTTTTTATGGCCGATGTCAGTATCTTTGGTGTCCCAAACAAGATTTATGAGGGAACTGCAAGGTGTTTGTGAGTTGAGCTAAACTAAATCGAATGTAACATTAAAATAAACAATTGGGATGCATAATTAGTCAAAATAAAACAGAAATTCGCGTGTACAGCTTGTAATGCCTTGTTTTCAGAGAGGCTCCATCGCTTAACATGTATTTGGAAACACAACTTAACTTTCACGTTTGCATAATTTCCTAAATTTTTGTGGACAGAACTTTACAGCATTTAATTTTACTTAAATTATTGAAATATTAACTTAAAATCTTGGGTTACTTTAAGTAAATATTTTCCGTCCAAAGGGTTTAGCTGACAAAAAAGGTTTAGGAACCTTTGTCTTTGAGCAGGATGGCTGATATATAAAGTAGATGTAAATGATACTTAAAGATAGAAAATAAAACATGCTGCAATAAATGTATATTTCTTTGACTTTTTATTTACTAAATGAGGAAACAAATTTGAACTTGAAAAAATAAAATAAACATTAATACTAAAGTATTCCAACACTTCATCAGATGATGCCAATAATAAAAGACAAATATTGGTATTTTGGTCGATATATAATTGGTTGACCACTAGTAAAAATGAGTTATTACAGATGCTCAAAATAGTTATTGGATGCTCAAAATGGCATCAAGAAATGATGTGAGCCCTATTTGAACTCCGTGCACGTCACGCCATGGTTCCTACGTGTCTCTGTGTTTATTAAAATATGTTAAAAGTTCCCTACTCAGTGATTTTCTCATATAGCCCTGTGGTTTGTCTGGGTTTCTCCACTCGTTAATACTTTGCAGTAGCGGTTGAAGTTGTTAATGAGCACTGGTGGGACTTGTATGACGCTCTTTCCTCATGTCCTCCTCTTTCTTTCCCCCCTTTTTTCGCTCTTCCCCTCCTCTCGCCGAAACATCTCCTCTGCTCAGAATCAAAGCGGTGGGAGTGTGTTGGGTGAGGAGATGAAGTGTGCATAATTCATTCTGAAGAGCACACACTGGGTGATTCTGCCGTTAAGATGAATGCACTTCTGCTCAGATCTGCTGCCGTATCTCCCGCTATTGTCCCAAAACACGGGACCTGCTGAGCGCACAGATGATCTGCGTCCGCAGTGTCTGTTTCTCTCGTTTCTGGTTATGAAATAAAATTGAGCTTGGGGGAAGTGAGGAGCTTAACAGGTAAACATGAGGGAACTGGGGGAGACCTGGGACAGTGATTTCCATTTCCACATTCCTTTGGTTGCATAACGCTTTTGGAGATTCGTCCAGTCCAAACAGAGTTGTCATCTGGTGGCATTGTAACACACACACATTCACAAACACGAAATGGTACAGCCAAGAGCCCGAGATCATTCACACAG